TGGATAGATGTGTGAGTGTGATATATTAATGCTTGCAAAAAAGTAAAACAAATAAAGTTGTGTTTAAACTTTGACTTTATTCATTTATTTAGATGCATAAAGAAAACTTTTGCTTCTAAACTAATCTGCGTGCTGAACTTAATATTCAAGCAAAATTTATTCATGATGAACTCTATTCTCGTTCTGATGATCAAGGTTCTCCAGTTAGGATAGTCGAAAAATGATCTAAATTGTTGTCTGAAAGTTGAAAAGATGTTTCAAAGGAAATACAATGTCGTGCATCTTTAACCTGGACAACATCAAAAATTATTGAACAAGTCTATAGATATATCAATGATGGTTGTATATTAAAATAGAAAAAATGTAAGTGAAAATGGATATTAGTTATGATATCATTCAGCAAATAGTCTCCCATCATCTGCAGCTTTAAGAAATACCGCTTATTCTATATTCTAGCAGCTGACTGATTTCCAACCAGACAGAAGAGTTCGAATATGAAGCGAAAATTTACCAATATTCGAACAATATACAGGGTGTTACCTAACCTTTACGCCCCCCTCTCTGGGACCTAAAAGATAGATAATATCACAAAGTATTTATACCAGATTAAAGCCCATCAAAAACTGCATATATGGGTGCAATTAGAATAAATGTTGCCTAAGAAATTCTTAAAATATCTTGCACAACATATTAAAATATCATGGATTACACAATATAGAGCCTACCAAAGAACTATTTCGTCTCTTTTTCAACGAATAAGTTACTTGTTAATAGATTTAGTTTACTTCGGCTTGAAGTGATATTATTTGTGTATTCTGTTAGAGCAGAGGGCCACCTACTTGATGTGATTCTCGTTTGCTTTTCTTATGTTCGACTGTAACGAAGTGCGCGAGCTGGGTAACATGTTTATTCTCAAGCGAAAAGGACTCACTATTCATGACTAACAATTAAGAGGAGAAATAGAGAAAAGAAAACTATGCGTACATATATGCACGGACAGATAAGAGGAGAATGAATAAACGTCGACACTGTTTTAAGTTTTGTTACTTCTTTTCTTTTCTGTGTGTCTGTTGCTCGCGTAACTAACTGTTCTGATCGCATCAGCAGTTTTACTAAATATTCATTAAATTGAGACAAGCCTGTGACACATCAATTTAGCGAATCAAAATGGCCGGTCTTCTTAATGACTCAGAAGAGCAACGATTTTTGGACGGAATTCATTGTATCACATATCGTGACGCACGCAATGAGATGCTTGCAAGAACAGGAGATTCATTTATCACCCGCCAGTGGGTTTTCGAGAAACTATGCCGTAGCGAAGATTGGATACGACGTAATTGGAATAAAACAACTAAAGAATGTTATACACAATTTGGAAGTGGTCGACCTCAGATGCTCTCTCAGGAGAGCAAAAACATTACCGCTTTTGCAAGTGGTGCTAGAGGCAACGGCTCTCGAAAAGTTGCAAGAGAAATTTTGGAAAAAACAGGACAGCGCGTAAGTCGTATGACTGTTCATCGTGAACGCTATCGACAAGGATTAAAACCTTGCCATGTGATTGCAAAGTCATTGAAGACAAATACGCATATTGAAGGTTGGAGATGGCTCTCAAATTTTGTTGCCGATTGGACTGAAGAAGATTTTCTGCATATTGCGCCTTCGGATGAATTTTATATTTACGTTATCAGAAAACCGAACCATCAAAATGACCGAATTTTGAGCAAAAAATATTGAAGACATTAGCATCAATGAAAGATACAGTGAAAAGGTTCAGGATGCAAGATGTATCGGAATATTTGTGATGTTCACCAGAAAGAAACTTCTTTGGATCCTGAAGGAACAGGGTCAATCTTGGGATGGGATCTATTTCCGTGAAATTATTCTTCAACAACATGTAATTCCATTTCTTCGAAACCCAAACAATGTTCTTGACACAAATGAAGTCATATTTCTTCACGATAAGGCATCCTGCATGAAAGCCAATGCAACGCAACACATTTTGAAGGATGAGAACGTCCGGTTCTGGGGCAACATAGTTTGGCCCAGTAAAAGTCCTGGGATGAACCATGCAGAAAACATCGGTGCCATTATCAAAGACAAAGTTGAAGATTTGATGGCAAATGAAGATCGGCAGAATAGATACAATTATGATGTTCTCAAAACTAACCTTCAAAATACACTGAAGAATGTTGAAGATGATATAGATCTTGTTATTGATTTACTATGCTCAATGAGAAAAAGATTTGATGCTCTTAAAGCTGCTAGAGGAGTTCATACACATTTCTGAAATTTTTTCATAAACACTTATCCGTGAGAAATTTATATTTCCAATACATTGAAAACTCTATGATCCGTAATTCAAGTCGATGAACGGTAAGGTAGTTCTTTGATAGACTCTATATTGTGTAAGATATTTTAATAATTTTCTTAGGCAACATTTATTCTAATTACATCCATATATGCAGTTTTTGATGGGCTTTAATCTGGTATAAATACTTTGTGATATTATCTGTCCTTTAGGACCTAGAGAGGGGGCGTAAAGGCTACGTGACATCTTATAGTGTAAAACTTAATAATTGGACTTCATTATTGAAGTAGTGTTCAAGGTTTCAAGTATCAACTATTTAAAAATTCAGCTTAACTTTCAATTTTGATATGTATGATTTTGTAGAATTTACGCGGCCATTCTGTGATGTCGTAACTGATGACAAGCTGTCGTTTTATCATGAATAAATTGATTGAAACTTATTGAATACTCTCTGGGTAGCAAGTGAAGACTTTCCATCGACCATATTTCAACTTAGTCGTTTCGCTCCAAGAACCTTACACAAAGTTTTTAAAATTCAAGTGAACTCGTTTGAATGAATCATGTTGAACGGGAACAAACTATCGAACACCGATATTACATCAATCATTGCTCGTAGCCCTTTTTTATCGAAATCAAGAACCAAACACCCTTCGTTGGTACTCGCACAATTAAAATTCACAATGATAATGGAAGATCACATATTCCTGAAGATCTACTCAACTACCTAGAATCGGAAGGCATAACGATGATACTACACTGACTTGATTCTCCGAATCTATCACCATGCGGTTTTTGATTATTTGACTTAATCAAACAAAATATTAGTGATCAAAATGATTCCGAAATATTGCATCATGCTATCAATAAATTTATAAACTCGTTGAAAAAAAAGAAAACCATAAAGAAGCTTTTGATAAATTTATCCAATTTCCCCAATTATGTGTAAACAACCAGGATAATTACTTCGAATTAATGGTGAGATGAAAACTTTTAAAGTAGTTTCTATGGTTTTTTGTTGTTATCAAGCTACCGCTATTTTTACGATGCTCTCTATATTATGATGTCACCTGAAGGATGATGAAATATGGTAGATTTAAAGTGCTCAATTTGAACTATCAGTATACATATAGAAAGAAACTTTTCTCCAGTTTTCGGGGAAATTTTATGGTATCATCGTCACATCTTTTAGTGCACCCTAAGTTGCAAACTTAGTTATGAGGATCCTAAATTTCGATACATTCAAGTTATCTCCCGAAGAAACATTAATTCAAGATCATTTATAATAATTTTATATGCATTCAACAACTATGTGTTTCGAACGCGTTTTCCGAGTTATATGACTTAAGCCAGAGAAAAACTGGTTTTATATATTCATACTGCTGATTCATGCATATTAAGGACTTCTTGTAATATTAATGAGCCAAAATTGTGGCTATAGTTTTACAAAAAGTTGCTTAATCTTAGAAATAAAAATGGATAGTATTTTCAATAGCCAGTGTACTAAGCAAAATTAAAACGTAGAAAACATCTGCTACTTGTGAAATACACGCTGTTGTGCATGTGGCTCAGAAAACAAAGTGTAATATTTACAATATGCTGAAAAAATGTTCATTTTGGTTGTAAGTCCTTCAAAGTTTCGTGTAGTATTAAAGCAAAGTTTGTTTCTATGACGGCACTGCTATCATCTAAAGATAATGTATAACTTTTTTTTTCATAAACTGGTTTTTATCAACTATGGGTTCGGTTCCATTTGAACATTTTAAAGAACTAGATTGGTTTCGTTTGTTCCAATTTCAAAAAGAAATGTTGAACTGGTCCCATCCCCTCGAGTATTTTCTCTTTTATTTTCTCATAAATGTGCCAGATGATAAAGTCAGTAAGCGTATTCAGCACTTACTAATTTGCTCAGTATCAGTTTATATTGGCCAGCGAAAATAAAATACAAACATAATTTTTCGTTGTTTTTGAACTATAAAAAGCTTGATTTTTGTACATTTTCATACATCTCGCTGACGAAGAGAAAGTCCAAACACGCACATTGCATGAATTGAACAATGTGTAAGAAAATTTATTTAGATTTCCAATGAAAACACTGAAAACGGATCTATGGAATTAGAAATAGGGACAATACAAAATTGTAATTAGAACCAAACCTGAACCAGCAAAAAATTTTAATCGTAATCAGAAAAAGTCTGTTTACAGTTTCTTGTACAGTACGCATCTAGTTTAGCAAATGAACTTCTTACTGGCATAAGGAAACAACAACGTGATTTTAAGTTGATGTTATCCTTTCAACATGGCAATGCTCCAACGCATACATTACCTCATATCTATTCTATTCCCCATCATTTAAAATACGAATTCTTTGTCATCCACCTTACTCTCTAGATTTAGCCGTTAGTAATTATTTTCTTTTTCACGTTTTAAAAGATTATCTGAAAGGAAAGCACTACAATGATGGTAACTCATTAGATTCATCAAAACACCTCTGTCTGAGTAGTTTATCTGCAGATGATTTTACGGCAACTATACAAAAACTTTCAAAGTGTTGACGAAAGTGAATTTCAGTCTGTGGACAATGTCTAAAAAAACAAAACATGTATTATGAATTGCAAATTATGTTGCTGTTTATTTAATAACATCAGTTCACAAAATTTTTGAATACTCCACACATAGAGTTATTAAAGCGGGATTAACATACGGCGAAATCTTCTTTTTGTGGCTTCATACTTTCATTTTTGATACCAATAGTGCTTGAATATTCTTCTAGTTGTTGCAGAAAAGATGCATTGGGTCTGATTACGCTACGCTTCGATTTAACATGATTCAAAGTCATATCCACTGTAGAGAAGTTAGAATTTGAACTCAATAAATATGCTATAACTACACTAGCTGACCGACTGACGCCTTGATCACAATGAACTAGTACAATGCCTTTATCATCGTCGATGGCCTTCGATATCCATTCTACAGCAGGAGAAAACACGGGCAATAACTTCGCCGATAAACTATCAGAAACTTGCCAGTGTAAAGTTTTTGTGTTCGTTGATTGGATTTTTTTTTCGGGATAATCACTGAAACTCATAATATGAGTGATTTTTAACATAGATATAACTGTTTCATTTCGACACATTTCAGAGCCAAGATATAAATTCGGCATTATATAAGAAGGCCATATCAACTGACTGCATTCACTATAATAAATGTTGTCACTACATAAAAATGGGAAAGTTGACTGAAAGTTTTCGTAACCATCAGTTAAGATATGAATTTGTTTCAATGATTTCTTGGAGAGATTCATAGATGATGTTAAATAAGATAACAAAGAATTTAATATTTCCAACTGCAATTGATAATCATCATAATGAGCTTTCTTATTGGCATATATGATAACTTCTGATGGCTGTTCAGCTCTACCATAATTCTTATCGATGTCTGCATCTATATCTGCTATCGCATCAACTGTAATGATTGGTAAAGGATACATATTATGAGCACGGCATATGTGACTTCTAATATAATCTTCGTTAGATCGAATATCATATATTCGATGATCCCAATATAGATAGTTATATAAATCTTGTATTGATATATCAGTAATTGTGATATTTGATGGTTTGGATAAATATGTTGACATATTTGAATTTCACTTAATATTACAGATTATCTTGGACTATGATATGTTGTGCAATGTCTATTTGGCTTATTTCAGAAAAAATTAATACAAGATCATAGTTGTAAAGATATCGCTTTGGTAAATCAAGGACATAAAATGACTCAATAAGAGATACCATTGAAAGTATCACAAAACTGGAGGACTGCGTACACGAATGACATCTATGACTATTATTTTTTTTACTATATTGTAAACAAATGACGAAATAGTTCTTTTGATAATCCGTATATGAAAAAAACCAGTTCGCTGTACACATATGTCGTGATAACTGCTGCAAAAACCGACAGTTATCAGTTGTTCTTCTGCTTGAGTTTTTAAAAACCTTATGGCATAATTATTTTTTAGTTCTAAAAAAAATGGGTCGTCAGATAAAAAAACAAATTCAACTTTTAGCAAACTTAAGTCAATAGTTCATGGCTTATCTTTTTTTACCGGAATTTGAAAACAATTTATAATGAATGTCATTTGTAATCGAATTAATTTCTGTGAAAATCAAGCATTATTTCGTTTTTTTTTCCTTTTTATCATCACCTTGATGATTTCCACAAAATCGAATGATATTAATTCTATGTGCTGATCTTTCCATTAATTTAAAATCGCATCAGTTGAATGAAAATTATTAGATGATCCTTGAAAAAAGAATTCTCATGTATTGTCTGGTAACTCCAGATAGCTAATTTCAGTTTCCAGAGACAGGGAACTAACATAATTACATGTTATTATTGTAAGACGTACATACAAATCCGTCTTGCTTTTTGCAGATAACTATAATGTTCTTGTGTCCTTTTATTAGAAAGATAGCTAATTACTGGTATGTACAGCTGTGACAAAATTATTTGTATGACTTCCTTTTTGATTAAAGATAGTCAAAACATGGAATTTTTAGGGTTTGATGGACATTAAGGGGGGCCCCCCCCCTCAGAAACAAACTTTTTTATTTTTCATCCGATTTCAACCAAAATTTCAGGGAATGTTAGTCTTGGCTAGAATAGATTATGGTTAAAATATCTCCCCAAATCTCAAAGATTTGCACAAGTTCTAGTCAATTCATTGGTCAAAAATACCCTTTACGCGGGAAAGGTTTTCAATATGAGGATTCGAGCTTAGCATGTCGAGGTGGTTTTTAAATTGTAGAGTACACTTAGGGCTAGATCCTAATAGAGCCCGATTTTTTAATTTCCCTTTGTTTGATTTTTAAAAAAACTTTTTCGAAAAATTCCCAAATTTGTGGTCAAAAAATCGCTAATTAGAATCAAAGATCTAAGTTTTTTATTTCAGCAAAAGAGAAATTCAAAAATCGGGCTCTATTAGGATCTGGCCCTAACAGTCTTCTATGTAACAAAAAAAATTATCACTTCCCTATCGAGTCATTATGACGAAAAGCTTTCCCGCGTAAACTGTATGCCCAAAAAAATTGATTTTGAGAAAAACGAAAAACAATGTTTTTGACTAAATATTCGAAATAAGTTTGCTTATATTATCTGATATTTTCGCACTATTCGTCAAGCTTTATTAGATGGCGTATAGGCGGATATATGATAATGCTCTTGACAGTACATATCATGCCAAAGTTGCGGTCATGGTTCCTTATGCACAGATGTCACTGCAAGTCGCTCATGTTTTTATCAATTTTCTGATTAATTCATGAGATAACATTTCATTTTGAAGTTTTTGACTATTAGAGATGCTTGTGTGTATTTTTCTATACATTTTGACAACTTAAATTACAATTGCTTATGCTAAAGATCTTGAATGAAAATTTGTTTGGTGAATTTTCGATCAATGACACGTCTGAAGGTAGAAAATGGATTTCTGCTGGACTTCATGTATTGCTTTACATTGACCATCATTTCTGATCTTTCATCTTTACCAGTGGTTGTTTATAAATTTGTTTATTTTCAGATATACTTTACTTCTAAAGAGTAAATTTGAAATGCCTACTACAAAAGGTCATAAGATTCAAAAGAGGAGCAAGCTGAAAATTTGTCGTAAAGCTCGGTTATCTAAAGCCAAGCAATTGGATTCGTCTCGTCCAACTCGTTCATCATCATCGTCGTCATCTGAATTATCGAATAGTGTTGAAGAACTATTCATTAATTCATAAAATTTGACAACAGCCTCATCATCTTCAAACAGTACATTATATAACTTATGCACTTCACAACAAAAAATAATGGCATATGAAAGAAGAAAAAATAATGCAATAGCTGATAGTGCTGAAATGGATTTTTATCAAGTAATCCACAACAGCTTTTTATTAGAATTGATGAGAAATACAATATGTATTGGATGTGAAGAAAAATGGAATGGAAAAATGCATATTAGTAAGAGAGAANCCTCAGGAACGAACTTTGTTATTTTTCATCCGATTTCAACCAAAATATCAGGGAATGTTAGTCTTGGCTAGAATAGGTTATCGTTAAAATATCTCCTCCAAATCTCAAAGTTATCTATGGGTTCTAGGCTCTTTATTGGTCAAAAATAGGGCAAGTTTTTTGCAATAAAGATACAAGCTAGAGTGATGGGGCAGCTTTCAGATTGTAGAGTGCCCTTAGGGCTAGGACTTGACAAGACCCGATTTTTCAGTTTCCCTTTATTTGATTTTTAAAAGACGTTTTTCGAAAAACTTTCAAATTCAAGGTGCTAATGAAAATAAAGTGTCTCAGCTTTTTATTTCAGCAAAAGAGAAATTTAAAAATCGGAGCCTGTCAAGGCCTAGCCCTGCATGTCACCTATATAATAAAAAACAATTATCATTTCCATGTCGAATCGTTATGGAGAAAAACCTGCCCGTATACACTGCACACACGAAAAATCTGATTTTGAGAAAAACGAAAAACAAGGCTTTTCAGTGCAGTAAGTGTCTTTATTCGAAATAAGTCTACTTATCTTCCTAATATTTTCACACTATTCATCAAGCTATATTGATAGCCTATATGGGGACATATCATAATATGGTTAATGGTACATATCGTATCGAAATTGTGGTCGTAGTTTCTTATACATAGATGTCACGTCATGTTACGGATGTTTTATCAAATGTATGGTTAGTTCGCGTAATTATATTTATAAACTTTTACCTATTCAAAATGGTTGTATATATTTTTCTGGATGCTCTGATAACGAAAATGGTTATTCCTTTGTGAAGACCTCGAAGAAAAATTTGTTTGGTGACTTTTCGACCAATTGTACCTCTGAATGTAAAAAAGTGGTTTCTACTATATTTTATTTATGTATTGCTTTACATTTACTTTCATTTCTGATCTTTTATCTTTATTTGTCTTTGTTTATAAAATTTTTATTTTCAGATATAATTTGTTTCTAAAGAATTAACTTGAAATGCCTACTAGAATAGGTTGTGTGTCTCATAAGAAGAGCAAGGCTACAATATGTCGTAAAATTCGGTTATCCAAACCCAAGCAATTAAATTCGTCTAGCCCAGCTAGTTCATCATCGTCATCGCCATTTGAATTATCGAATACTGGTGAAGAACTATCTATTAATAAGAAAAAATAACGCAGTAGCCGATAGTGATGAAATGGATTTTTATCAAGTAATCCACAACAGCTTTTTGTTAGAATTGATGCAAAATACCATATGCTCTCAATGTAAAAAACATTGGAATGGGAAAATGGATATCAGTAAGAGAGAAGGTATGTATAAATGATTTTGGTGTTGACAGTAGCAATGTTCGGCTTGTTATAGAAAAATTACTCATTTTCATTTTCTTTTTCCATCTAGGTTTATATTGTTCATTAGCATTTACATGCGAAAAATGTGAACATACAATACAAATTAACATATCTAAGATGATTCCGGACACCAAACATCGTGATATCAATATACGTGTTCAATTATGTACGTCAGTATCTGATTCAATCAGAGATAGCTACTTATCTTATCCCGTTCAGTTCTGATAACGTTGTAGCTTCTTTTCTAGGTGCGCATTTTGCAGGAATTGGCTACGCTGGTGTAACTAAAATATTTGGGGCGATGAATATGCCTCCACCAATACAAGAAGATCATTATGAAGAAATTGATAGAAAATGTTTATTACCATGTATCAAAAAATTCCAACATGAATCAATGCAAGCTGCTATTTGTATGTATTTTGTAAAAAAAAACGCAATAATATGATTTTTCGTTTCGTCGTATGCTTATTATCTTTTAGATGAAGCTGTTGATGAGAACGATGGTGATCCAACAGCCTTAACAGTTAGCGGAGATGGAACATGGCAAAGACGAGGCTTCAAAAGTATTCATGGAGTAGCAGCTGTTTTATCGTGCAACACAACACCGAAAGTACTTGATGTTCAACGTTTATCAAAAAAATGTGTGATATGCACTGGTGCATTAAGTATGAAAAATACAGATCCAGATTTATATGACGAAATTATTAAGAATCACGACTGTGAATCAAATTATGATGGTTCATCTGGTAAGTTAGAATTTGTCTATCAAAAAACTGAAAATAAATCTATGTTGAACTTTTTTCTAGGAGGTATGGAATCACAAGGCATTCAAGACATATTTAAACGTTCCGTTCCAATGTATCAAGTTCAGTTCACTCGGTATGTATCAACATAAAAATACTAGATAAAATATGATTTATTCATTATTAAAATATTACAGGTATATTGGAGATGGAGACTCGTCAGTCATGTGGAATCTTACTCAACATCCTCCATATCCAGATATCAAAATTGAAAAGATCGAAGACATCAATCATTGGTCAAAGAGAATGTTATATCGGTTGGAAAAGTTTACACAAGAGTTGAAAGATACAATGCTAGATCCAGAAAAAAAAACGAAAAGGAATTGGTGGTATTAATCGCTTGACCAAGGGTAAGTAGTAAAGAATTATTGACACTACTTTTTTTCATAAATAGATAATATTTTTTGTTGATTTATTGTAGAAATGATGATAAAGTTCAAGTTTTACTACGCAAAAGTAATCAATGAATATAAAAGTGATATAGACATGATGCATAAACGTACGTGGGCAATCTATAAACATAACGTAAGAGAACATACTATAGTACAAAGAGACAAGCTTCACTGCAATCATATTGATAACCTTTTAGATATCGACAAATGAAGAACCTGATCATGACTGGTGTGGCGAATGGTGTGGCTACAAAAAGTCCTTACTGACAGGTATCTACAAAACGATTTTTGTAACCTCTGTTCTTTTTATCCACAGAGTTTGTTATAACTGTTCGTTAAATATTTATGTTTATTTTAAAACAGGCACAAAATATGATCATCAGAAACACTCTTTACCAAAATATGTTATGGAAGCTATTAAACCTGTATTTGAAGATCTGGCTTCTAGTAAGCTGTTTCTATTCATAATGATTTTTACTCCTTTGTTTATGATGTTTTTTAGAAGAACCTTTACAACATGTACTCAATGGATCCAGCCAAAATGCTAATGAGTCATTTCACTCATTTTTATGGTCCATGGCTCCTAAGAACAGATGTTGTAGTGGAACTATTATTGATAGTATGTAAAAGATAGAGCTTTTCGACTAATAGTATAGTTCATTTAATGTTATTCCTTCTTTCTAGTCTGTCTTGGATTGGCTGTTATGATATACAACGACGGTTACTTATCTATCGGTGAATATTGCACGAACTTTTAGGTATGTTTCAGATTATTTTTTGTTTCTTTTCAAAGATTCTAATTGTAAAGTTTTGTTTTGTAGGTGAAATGGGTCATTTTTCTTATGTTGCTTTTGATCGCATCAATAAACAACGTGTAAGAAAAGAAGCACAATGGAGGAAGAGAAGAGGACAACAAATAGCTGGTACTGAAGATACTGAAAATGATGAAGATAAGAATGATGATACAATTGATGATTATCAGTCTGGTGCATATTGAACTGTGATNATTTCTGCTGGACTTCATGTATTGCTTTACATTGACCATCATTTCTGATCTTTCATCTTTACCAGTGGTTGTTTATAAATTTGTTTATTTTCAGATATACTTTACTTCTAAAGAGTAAATTTGAAATGCCCACTACAAAAGGTCATAAGATTCAAAAGAGGAGCAAGCTGAAATTTTGTCGTAAAGCTCGGTTATCTAAAGCCAAGCAATTGGATTCGTCTCGTCCAACTCGTTCATCATCATCGTCGTCATCTGAATTATCGAATAGTGTTGAAGAACTATTCATTAATTCATTAAATTTGACAACAGCCTCATCATCTTCAAACAGTACATTATATAACTTATGCACTTCACAACAAAAAATAATGGCATATGAAAGAAGAAAAAATAATGCAATAGCTGATAGTGATGAAATGGATTTTTATCAAGTAATCCACAACAGCTTTTTATTAGAATTGATGAGAAATACAATATGTATTGGATGTGAAGAAAAATGGAATGGGAAAATGCATATTAGTAAGAGAGAAGGTATGTATAAATGATTTTGATGTTGATAGTAGTCTTGTTCGGCTCGTTATAGAAAAATGATTCAGTTTCATTTTCTTTTTGCATCTAGGTTTATATTGTTCATTAGCATTTACATGCGAAAAATGTCAACATACAATACAAACTAACACATCTAAGATGGTTCCGGACACCAAACATCGTGATATCAATATACGTGTTCAATTAGGTACGTCAGTATCTGATTCAATCAGAGAAAGCTTCTTATCTTATTCCGTTCAGTTCTGATAACATTATAGCTTCTTTTCTAGGTGCCTATCTGTCAGGAATTGGCCATGCTGGTGTAGCTAAAATATTTGGGGCGATGAATGTACCTCCACCAGTACAAGAAGATCACTATGAAGAAATTGATAGAAGGCTTTTATTACCGTGTATCAAAAAATTTCAACATCAATCAATGCAAGCTGCTATTTGTATGTATTTTGTAAAAAAAAACGCAATAATACGATTTTTTTTCGTTTCATTATATCTTTATTATCTTTTAGATGAAGCTGTGCATGAGAACGATGATGATCCAGCAACCTTAACAGTTAGTGGAGATGGAACATGGCAAAGACGAGGCTTCAAAAGTATCCATGGACTAGCTGCTGTTTTATCGTCCAACACAACACCAAAAGTACTCGATGTTCAGCGTTTATCAAAAAAATGTGCGATATGCACTGGTGCATTGAGTGTCAAAAATACAGATCTAAACTTATATGACGAAATTATCAATAATCATGACTGTGAATCAAATTATGATGGTTCATCTGGTAAGTTAGGATTTGTCTATCAAAAAACTGAAAATGAATCTATGTTGAACTTTTCTAGGAGGTATGGAACCACAAGGTATTCACGACATATTTAAACGTTCGGTTCCAAAGTATCAAGTTCAGTACACTCGGTATGTACAAACATAAAAAGACTAAATAAAATATGTTTTATTCATTGTTAAAATATTACAGCTATATTGGAGATGGAGATTCGTCGGTCATGTGGAATCTTACTCAACGTCCTCCATATCCAGGTATCGAAATTGAAAAAATCGAAGACATCAATCATTGGTCAAAGAAAATCTTATATCGGTTGGAAAAGTTGACTCAAGAGTTGAAAGATACAATGCTAGATCCAGAAAAAAAACGAAAAGGAATTGGTGGTATTAATCGATTGACCAAGGGTAAGTAGTAAAGAATTCTTGACACTACTTTTTTTCATAAATACATAATGTTTTTTGTTTATTTATTGTAGAAATGATGATAAAGTTCAAGTTTTACTATGCAAAAGTAATCAATGAATATAAAAATGATATAGACATGATGCATAAACGTACGTGGGCAATTTATAAACATAGAGTAAGAGAACATCCTATAATAGAAAGGGACAGTCTTCACTGTAATCATATTGATAACCTTTTAGATATCAACAAATGAAGAACCTGATCATGACTGGTGTGGCGATTGGTGTGGCTACAAAAGGTCTTTACTAACCGGTATCTACAAAATGATTTTTATAACGTTTGTTCTTCTTATCCACATAGTTTGTTCTAACTGTTCGTTAAATATTTATGTTTATTTTAAAACAGGCACAAAATATGATCAGCAGAAACACTCTTTACCAAAATATGTTATGGAAGCTATTAAACCTGTATTTGAAGACCTGGCTTCTAGTAAGTTGTTTCTATTCATAATGATTTTTACTGTTTTGTTTATGATTTTTTTTAGAAGAAACTTTACAACATGTACTTAATGGATCCAGCCAAAATGCTAATGAGTCATTTCACTCATTGTTATGGTCTATGGCTCCTAAGAACAGATATTGTAGTGGAACTATTATTGATAGTATGTAAAAGATAGAGTTTTTTGACTGGTATTATAGTTCATCCGAATTTTTCCTTCTTTCTAGTCTGCCTTGGGTTGGCTGTTATGATCTATAACGACGGTTACTTATCTATCGGTGAAATACTACACGAACTATTAGGTATGTCTCAGATTATTTTTTGTTTCTGTTCAAAAGTTCTAATTCCAAACTTTTGTTTCGTAGGTGAAATGGGTCATTTTTCTTATGTTGCTTTTGATCGCATAAATAAACAACGTGTACAAAAAGAAGCACAATGGAGGAAGAGACGAGGACAACAAATAGCCGGTGATGAAGATACTGACAATGATGAAGATAAGAATGATGATACAATTGAAGAATATCACTCTGGCGCCTTTTGAAGTGCTATTGTTATCTTGTTGTTGTATATAAATATATTTTTGCAAAAATTAGACTGATAAGTTTCACTTTTTTTGTGTCTGCACATTTATCGTTGTTAGTGTTGGAAACTACTCAGAGTAGATTAGAATCTTTGTTTCTGAGGGTACATTAGAAAGAAAGTAGGTTTTCACTGGAAAAATAGTTTCGATATAATGCATAGGAAGGGAAAATGCATTGCATACTTGTATAAATATGCGCAATCAATTCAACAGCATCGAAGCCTAAATGAATTTGCTAGCTTGAAGTCCAATTCAAGCACCATCAGAATATGTTTAAATTTTGAAATCAAGTTTTTCTCGAAAAATCGACTTTTCTAAGCGGAGCGGGAAGCTTTTAAGTGTTAGCAGGCTCTTAATGATTAATAAAACAACCTTTTATTCAATGTTGACGTAAATGGCAAGGTATCTCTCCAAAACTGAAAAACTTCAAAAACAAAATTGAGAAAATTTCTCGAAAAACATGATACTAGGCTCAACTTTTTATCGATAAGTCCGTCAAAATCCGTTCGTTTTTCGAAAACCCATATATATTCTGAAAGAGGAGACTTCAGTGCATCCTCCCATGGTAAAAACTCAATTTCGATTTTTTTTCGAAAAATCGACTTTTTTGAGGGGGGGGGGGGCCTTAAATTAGAAAATAAGCTATAATTCTATGGTTTATATCTGGTTTTAACTTCAAATCATCAAATTTTATCTTAAAATAAAATAATATTCTCATAGAAAAGTACTAAAATTAATTTTTCTAATAAAATTATTCTTAGTTGTTATTACACTGTAAATATGTAAAGGATATAAATAGGCAACTCTCATTAGATACATCGCTCTAGTCTCCATACA